ATTTTGGAATGCTATTACTATAGACAATCCAGGAGTTACAGGCTTAATTATTCAAATACACCTCCTAAAAACAATTCAAATATACCTACGCATATTTTATGGAGTTTAGGTGATGTTCTTAGAGTTGCCATCAGGATAGTGCTGGGGCATTAAATAATCGAGTAATTACTCGTTATAATTGCTATTTCAGACTTATTTCTTGGACTGGAAGAAAAATTGATCCAGTAGGCGTTGATTACATTCTTCAAAAATTGGGCTTTCATCATGCCAGAACAACTATTCCTAAATGGCTTCAGAGGGGAGTCATGGACCCACTGGACAAGGTTCTATCGGTTCTCATCAAAAAGCTTGGTACTGCACTACAGGATGAGAAGGAAAAGAAAGGAAAAGACAAAGAAGAACACTAAAAAGTAAAAAACTGTGAACCTATGATGATTGTGTCCGTTAAGTTTTATTATACGGATGTGTTTTTTAGTATAATAATTTTAACTTTAAAATACTTCTAATTTTGTGGCTCTGGTAGAAATGTCTGTAAGTTAACATGTTTTAGTTCCACCATTCTGTGTACAGTGAAGTGTTGCATGATAATGTAAATTTTGTGAAAGCTATATTAATATATATAAATTTGCTTATTAGGGTTTATAATTGTATTATGTGCAATATGATTCCTGCATCTTTAAAATTTTGCAGAATTACTGTGAATTTTTTTGTTACTGGCCATAACTTTTAGAAAGAGAACTTTATTGATAATGTGATCTGTTGTTTTTTTAGACTTGTATAAATATGTTTGTATATAGTTTGAGCAATTGTGATATCACATACCACTAAAATATTGTTTGTAACTATTGTAATAAAGTCACAATAATGGTTTCAGTCTATTGTTATTTTTGAATTTTTATCGCCTTTTATAGCTTAATTTTATGAATGCCTATCCTGTTATACCTATCAAATATTTTCTAAAACAAATTATATAAAATAAGTGATTTTGAAAAATTAGTTCAAGAGGATACAGTCAGGGAGAGGCATAGCAGAAACTTCAGAAGGATTAGATATTTTACTGGAAGAGCTTCTCCATGCATCTCACACACTTTTCTACATCTTCCAAAAGAGACAGTCACTGTCCCTTGTTTGGGATTATGTTTTTTCAATAATATTTGTGTAGTGAACAATCTTAAAAGAAATTTGTTCACTGCCTTAGAGCAAAGAAGAGATTTTCTTACATTCATGGGTGATGTGCTTACTAAAAAAAATAATGGAATTCTCCAAACTGAGATTTCTGCTGTAACACAATCCTCTGTGTGTGTGTATGTGTAAGTGGCCCTAAATGTGCTGCCTCCATGGGAGCTGGAGACAAGAAGACATACAGATGTGCTGATACCCAAGCTGTGCATCATCAAGTCTTTTGTCCCGGACAAAAGCATCTTACATCTGGCAGCATCCATGAAATTGGGGCAGGCTAAGGTTAAAGCTTTTAAAGTAAAATTTTAAATCTTCCACAATCCTTGATAGATTGTTACACTGAATGAGGAGTCCACATAATCATGACAATAGTTTTTAGAGAGTCTCAAGGCATCTTGCTTCCTGACTGTTTTGGATGATCAGAAAACAAAAACATCAGCTTATTAAGTGACTATTTTAAGACAGCAAAGCTTTAGCAGGAAAACGCTCAGGAAACCAGAATCCTTCACATTGACAGTACTGGCTCAGTGCTTTTATAGAACAAGGGTAATTGTACTAGAGTTTTGATGGGAAATCATGAATCTGCCATGCAGTGCTGATTTTGCTCCTTCTGACTTTTTTTTTTAGCTTTGTGATTTTAAAATTAGTAGGGTTTGGATAGACTGTGGTGTAACAAATAAAATCACAGCCTACACAGTAGGCATCTTGGATTGGCACCAGTTTGAGTTCCAGCTACTCCACTTCTGATCCAGCTCCCTAATAATGGCCTGGGAAAGCAGTAATGATGGCTCCAAGTACTTGGGCGCTTGCACTCATGTGTGGGACTTGAAAGAAGCGCCTGGCTTCAAACCAGCCCAGCTCTGGCCATTTTGGCCCTTTGGGGAGTAAACCGGTATATGGAAGACTTCTTATTCTCTCTGTGATTCTGCCTTTTGGATAAATAGAATAAATCTTAAAAAAAAAAAAAAAAAAAGAGAAAAAGAAAAAGAAACTTAAAGGAAATCCATTGCATCAGTTAATGTTAAAAAAAAAAAAAGAGCAGGAAGCATTGACATAAATTCCCTAAGACTCACTTCTTCATTGATGGACTAAGTGGGTGTTATACCATTGATCCAAAAAGTATTTTGAACTTAATAGGGGTTTATAATAAGAAATAAACTTTGTATTTTTAATGTCATTGCTCTACAAACCTTTGAAAGTCCCCCTCGTACTTTTGATGTTTAAAAGGTTATTCTAGGGCTAGTGTTGTGGCAACCACCATATATCCCACAGCCTGGGACACCAACATTCCATATGGGTGCCATTTGGAGGCATGGTTGCTCCAGTTGTGATCCACCTCCCTGCTAATTTGCCTCGGAAATCAGTGGAAGATAGTGCAAGTGTTTGGATCCCTGCCCCCACAAAGGAGAACCAGATGGAGTTCCTAGCTCCCGGCTTTGTCCTGATTTGGCCCCAGCCATAGCAGCCATTGGACCAATGAACCAGTGAACGGAAGATACTGTAACTCAGCAATTGCCAAAATGTACTGCAGGCAGCATGGTAAAGTTTGGGTCACATAATATTTTGTTAAATTTACATCAGTATTCAGAAATAAGTGGAAGTGAGTGTTTAAAATGTGGTGTATTGGGCCCAGCACGATGGCTCAATGATTACATCTTCACCTTGCAACTGCCAGGATCCACATGGGTGCCAGTTCGTTTCCCAGCCACTCCACTTGCCCTCCCTACTTATGGCATGAGAAAGCCAATTAGGGCCCTGCACCGGCCTGGGAGACCTGGAGGAAACTCCTGGCTCCTGGCTTCAGACTGGCTCAGCTCTGGCCATTGTGGCCACTTGTGAAATAATCCAGCAGACAGAAGATCTCTCTAAATCTGCCTTTCCAATTAAAAAAAAAAAAAACTTAGAAAAAATGTGATGTATTTTCATTTAAAATTTGATATATTTCACAAGGCAATCAGCTATTAATAGTGGTATTTATACAGTATTACATCTGAGGCAGTTTACTAAAACTACTATATAGCATCTAGTATAATCTCAAAATATTATATGACTAACATACCCTCAACACTATTTTGTGGTTTTATTTTTATAATTCATTGGAAATTGGTATACAAATTATGGATCTTCTGTCTCAGAGCCTAAATGGGTAAATCACAACTGAAATATATCAGGCTGTGGCTGCGTGAAAATTTTAATCATAGTAAAATCATAGGGCCCAAAATATAGCATATCACTCCAGTCTTCATGTGCCAAACAGCATGTAAACTGGGGCTCAAATATAATGGAAAAGGCCAGAAGGAACTTGAAAAACGGATGATGTCATGAATTGATACATGTTTTGATCTTGGACTCCTAGTTTCCAACCTGGTGACTTTTTACAAGAGGGTATGATGAAAAGTTCATGGAAAATCAAATTGAGGGCCCGGCACGGTAGCCTAGTGGCTAAAGTTCTTACCTTGCATGCTGGTTCAGGTCCTGGCTGCTGTACTTCTCACCCAGCTCCCTGCTGTGTCCTCAGAAAGCAGGAAAGGATGGCTTAAAGCCTTGGGACCCTGCACCCATGTGGGAGACCCAGAAGAGGCCACTTCAATTTTTTAAAATTTTTAACAGGATATGGGATATTTTCCTCCAATTTGCCTATGTTTTTGTGGGTAAATATCACTTCTTGCTACAGTGAAGCAGATTGTCATCAATTTTTAAGAAATTTAATTCGTGAGAAACCTTTTTTATCTAAAAAGTAGAGACACGCTGAAATTTAGTGACAACAATACGACTAAGTTACATGATTTCTTCTTTGGTGGCAATCAAAACCTGATGACTGATGTTCTGTTGAAAACCGGCTCTGTTAGCTAATATTTGGAGCGGGGCGGCCTCCAATTACTTGGTAGCAAAGAGCTGAAACTACCCACATTGCATCTGATACACTGCAGCCATTCACTTCCAAGGCTCACAGGCTCCTGCAGGGCTTCCTTGAATTCACCATCACACAGGACACCTGGGGCAGCCTCCAGGCACTTGCACAGCTAACTGCTGTGTAGACCGCCATCCACACAGTGCTGAGGCCTGCAAGGAGACACAGGCCTGCATGGCACAGAAGTGAACGATTTTACTCCATCGCTCCGCCACAGCGGGAGGCCAGTGGGCTCCAACCCCAGAGCCCAGAGAACAGGGCGGCCCTCACCAGCGCCTCGAACGTGTAGAACATTCGGCGGCTCTCCCCTAGGCGACCACGCAGGGCGCCGGGCGCATGCGCGGCAGCGGGCGCGCGAGCCACGGAGGCGGTTGGTGATTGGACGAGGCCGACGCGGGCGGCGCGTTGACAGCAGGGGCAGCCCGAGGCCGCGTTTGAAAGACGCGACTCTGCGTGGGCCTCGCGCCGAGAGACGTGAGGCGCAGGCTGAGGCCGGGAGGAGGACGCAACGGTGGCGACGGGCGGCAGCCGTCGAGCGCCGGGCCTGCGGCTGGGCTTGCCCCTGGCCAGCCGGCTGGCCGCGGGGTGCAGTCGGGAAGGCACAAAGGACAGCCTCGGTGGGTGGGCTCGGACAGGTTCACGTTTTCCGTGTCTTACCCGGCCAGCTCTCCTCTGCCTTGCCATGTCTTTCCCTGATTCCCTGGGGGGGAAATGTGAGGCCTACTTGAAGGCCTCTTTCCGCCATTGTGGCTGAACTTTAGAGGAGGGATCCAGTAGATAATTCTGTGTGAAAACTCATGAAGCAGTCCTCAGATAAAGACCGCGTGGGCTGCGGTAAGAGGAAGGGCAAGAGGACACACCATCTGTGGGACTGTGTGTGGCTTTTCTTTTTTTCTTTTTGGCCTTCCTCACCCCCTTCCCAGGAAACTTTCAATTAACTTACTATTTTCATTGTCGGTGTTATCCTTTGCAGGTGAGAAAATGTCTGCCAAAAGTGACTGGTTTCAGAGTTCCAGGGCCCCCAGCTTTGCTCAGATGCTGAAAAAGAACCTGCCAGTTCAGCCATCAACCCAGAAGGTCACCACTTCGGCAGGCCAGGCCACGGAAAGCTACAGCCTGTCGAATATGGCCTCCAAGGTTACGCCAGTGACGGGTCGGTCTCGTTTGTCGTTTGTCGTAGCGATCCGCGCATGTGAGGGCCCCGGGGTGCTGAGTGAGCTCCGTTGGGCCTCGGACTTTGGCGTGGCAGGTGTCAGGCCGTGGAAGCATTCACCAGTGGTTGTGTCCCACCTGGCCCCGATCTGCCTCGGATACTCTGTGTCTGCCTAACTGTTCCTGGCACACTGTTCACTGTTCCTTTGCTGCCTTCGTCATGAACATTGTTGTTATTGTCTGTGATCTAGTTTCATAGGCATAGGGATTCTTCTTTCCCCATTTTCTCCTCCCATCCTTTTTCCCCATTTTATTTCAGTAGTATAACCCTTCAGCAGCAGTTACAAGTTTAGCATCCTATTTAAGTGTATCACGGCAGTTTCGGTCGAGGTGAAGGTAGAAAATCTAGTTTCATACTGCCAGAGTAGTTTAGCTGTTTCATTGGAAGACGACTTCAGAAAGGGGCCTGGATTTTGCTGGGTTCTAGCATAGTGTTAACAGTGGCAGAATAATTTAACTAAAAGTTAATTTCCGTGTGAAGAGCACTCAAAAATCCCCGAAATGGGGGGGGGGGGAAGTCACTGAAATGATTCTAGAACTAATGTCTCTTATTTCTGGGCTAGTGACTTAACCTGTAAAAATGATTTAGCTTCTGAAGACTTTGATACCAGAATCTCATGCCACTTTCATGTCAGTAATTGTGCGATAATATCGCTTATTTGCAATGTAATTTTTTTTACTTGCAGTTGTTCTTGCTATGGGTCTCAAAACTATATAGCAGAAATGATTGAAAGATGCATCTGACTAGATTCATATAGGGTGAGCTTCCAATTAGGGGATAGAGTTAATGCTTTTGCTGGTTTTTTTCTTTAAACTGAATTGACCAAAATAAACATTTATTTTTAGGTAATTTTCCAGAACCTTTGCTTTCCAAAGGTCTCTCATCTATTTCAAATCCTGTCCTTCCTCCAAAAAAAATACCTAAGGAATTTATAATGAAGTACAAACGTGGAGAGATTAATCCTGTGTCAGCCTTGCACCAGTTTGCACAAATGCAACGGGTTCAGCTTGACCTTAAGGAAACCGTAACAACAGGTAAGTACCAAGCTATGTCTGATTTTTGTGATTCTAGAAAAGTGTTTTTCCCTCTGAAAGAGAGTAGTTATGTTAAATTTGACTGTCTAAATGACTGTTGGTATGCTTTAAAAAATATACTTAGAAATATTTTCTGTTCACAGCTGTTAAACTTTTGAGCTTCTTCAAATGTAGACATAAAATTGTTTAAAATAATGATTTCATTGTAGTTTTTTGTATGTGCCTAGCTGAACTGAAGTGAAACCAGCCTCATGCATTTGTTTGGGGAGGGGGAGTGTAAATGCTTGCATAATAAACATGTTTTCATAGTGATGGTGAATACTTGGATTATGATTATGTGATGAAGATGCCACATTGAAACTTGTGGTTAAATTTGTCTTGTAGAAACCAAATGTTAGATATGAAAAAGGCTCTTGCACTTGCTGGTGTATCTGTAAACCTGTCAAAAATTTCTTCATTCAATCTTAAAACCCCTTTTAACAAACTACCCCAAACCAGAAGGCTCTTTGTCCCCCTTTTGCCTGTGGAAGACTATATATAGTAGCAGAGCTGAGTAAATTGCAGAAAGCAGCTACTGATTCACATTATGGTCAATGATTAGTAAAAATTTAGGAAAGTGACAGAATAAATGCTACAAAGTTATTGGCAACTTAAAAAATAACAACCAATAAGAATATTTTAAAACCCCTGATGTATGTTACTACACTTGCTTAAGTAGTTTGGTTTAGTAAAATTTCCTGTTAATAACTTGTCAGTATGATTTCAAAGCTTATGACTTTGGTAAAGAATTTGAAGAGAACGTGTTAGTAAGGATTGCCACAGGGACAGCATGTTTCAGTCTGTTAGTTTTGATGAAATCTTAGCAAGCGATAAAAAGAGAGACTATGGAAAGTGGTTTTTCCTTAATGTGAGAGTGGACTTACTTGCAATGTATCTCATTAGCTTTCCTTTAAGCCTATCAGTGGAAAAATCTAAGCTGTGAATCATTATTTTTTTTAATAATCAGGACAAATACTCATTGCAGTACAAACTACTAAAGCACAGGACCCGTCTGCTGTTGATGGTGTTCATTTTTTAGTTAAACCATAGATAAATAATTTGAATTATTCAGGTTGGTACTGAGACTAAAGTTACTTCAGTATTTTTAACAAGCTCCTAGTGTGATTTATATCAGTAATGAAGTTTGAGAACCGCAGTTACAACAGACCGCAGCTTAAAGGCCTCAGTTTTCTGACCCAAAATATAACCATTTAGAGGTGTAACAATACAGAAGAATTTTCTTAGCCACTTGTTAAAACCATTCTCTGGTTTAGTAAAATTGAAATGAACCCAGGTGGTCATGAATGAAGGCAATTGGGAAATAGTTTTTTTAATGTATGACCAATTACTTATTCTGAATGAATGATAGAAAAAAGTGCTACTAACATGCAAAGTTAACTTAATTCAGAGAATATTCAGAGAATATTGTTAAAATTTTCCTTTATTTTATTTTTCTGTTGGATCAAGCAGTAGCTTATAGTTATAGTTAGGTTTTTTTTGTTTTTTGTATTTTTTTTTTTTTTTGGTGCTGTCAAAAATATAGCAGTTAGCAGTGCCTTATGAATAATCAAATAGTTCCCAGTGGTTGTGTCCACATCTTGATTGTTCAGGTGTTCAGGAACTCTGTTATTGATTTGCTTTCATGTTTGGTTCTTGGTTATTATCTCCACGTGTGAAAGAGCTGAGAGGTTCTTACTACTCCCACAGGAAATTAACTGCAAACAGACTCCAATTTGGGGTAATAATTGCTAGGGAGTATCTTGACCAAATAAACCCTGTAGCCATCAGAACAGCAGAATGTGAGCTGTGCTGAACCAGTCCACATGCCAACCCCCATTCTGTAATCGAGGTTCAGAAGAAAACTCTCTGGGGACCTGCCAGCTGATTGAACATTGGCCTCAACTTCTCGGGTAGCATCAGCCCCACTTTATCCAGGAGCCAGTGGTGGATAGTCCTCAAGGCCTCCAGTGCCAGTGGCTGACATGGTGGCCTGGTGATCAACGGAAGCCAGCGTCACAGTCCTCATCCCTGACTACCAACAAAGGACAGCTGCTCACTTTCCCTTACCACAGTGCCTCGCATCTGCTTTACCGCAGGGTGCTCTTTCCGTGGCTTGTCTGCCCATGGGCAAACCACCCAGCAGCCTGTGCCCCGAGACAGCTCATTGGTGTGAGGGTGAGACTCTGGAATGGCTTGTCCCTCCGCCTCTGTCCCTCCCTGGATGGATACCGGGAAGTAAGTCTTAACTGATAGGCAGAAAACTCCCAAGATGCTGTCAGGAGTTGCTTGTTAGTGTAGTATGATTCTCACTATGTGAGGAAATAAGATGGTGGGGTTTATGTGCAGTGACATTATCCCCAGCCATCCAGAGCCAGAGACTGGCAACTTGGATCCTCTGAGTCTCCTAAAGTGTGAGTACCACAAAATTAAACTTGAATCAAAAAAAGTCTTTGAGTTGTAAATTTAGGAAGTTATTATGTTTAATTTTCTTCAGGAAACTGAAAGCTAAGTAAAACCTCTGTTAATCTAACCTTGCTAGGATTTTAAGAAGATGGGACATTCATTTTAATTTTTTGGATCTTTATTTTGTTATTGTTTGTTTTGATTCTCCTTCCCCTCCAACCCCGTGGCTAACTTACCCTAAGCTATAATGGATTAAATTGCTTACCATGTCCCTGGTAGAATCACAGGTTTTCTTCAGAACGGACCTTATGCTCTGAAGTTATTAAGCATAGTAGAGCAATCCAAGAGTGGGAGACATTCAGGTTTCTTGTAGTGATGTTTTCAATAACATTTTATGCTGTCATTGATCATTTGGTAGATATTTCAGTGTTTACTATTTCTAGATACTGTCACTCCGAGTATGGCCTGTATTCTGAAGCTAATGCTATTTGTCATATGAATCTGCAACCAACCTGGCTATTTAAATCCTCAAAATAAGTTCAGTGGCCTATCTAGCTCTAGTTTTATTGACCTTACAAGAAGGCTTGAGAAATTAGTATTTTAAAGTAAACAGTTTTCCAGAATTTTTGTAGTGGAATGTTATCCTGTATACTAATGCTGTTTACAAGAATACTCTGTAAATTACTCTAGTGTTGATTCCAAATTCATTTTCAAGGTAATGTTATGGGACCATATTTTGCTTTTTGTGCTGTGGTGGATGGTATTCAATATAAGACTGGATTGGGACAAAATAAAAAGGAGTCCAGATCCAATGCAGCAAAATTAGCACTTGATGAGCTTCTACAATTGGATGAACCTGAACCTGAACCAAGAGTCCTAGAAGCATCAGGTAAGTTCTCTTGACTCAGTGTTTCTAATTCCTCAAATGGAATCATATGTAAAATTTATGTTAATGGTAACTTGGCAAGTTGCAAGATAAAGCTCAGATCTGAATAATTGCCTTTAGTTGATGTCTGTTGGCACTTAATATAAGTAATGTGCTTTTGCATATTGAAGCATCAAAAAATACAATGTTGCTGAACAATCTGATAACTTGTGAGATTCTTAATGAATTCAGTCCAGAACTCTGGTTTTCTGTGTAATTTCTTAGATTTTCATTACATACTGTGATTTAATATTTAATGCAGCTTTTTGTGAAATTCACCTTTGTTAAATGCATTAGTTACTTGAGAAAGTAATTGCCAAAGGCAGCGTACAAATGGGTTAGTCAAGTATCTTGTCTCAGCTCTGACTTCTGATTCCTGTTTTCTTTGCTTTCTGTGAAGCAGCAGATGATGGAGGTAACTAAGATGAGTTTCTGGACTGCAGGCTTTTCCCTGGCACACCCTGTGCTGTTGGCTGCGTTTGATGAGTGTCCCTGAAGTTGGGAGCGCTCTAGTTTTCTCAATCTCTTGCTGTCTCAAAATAATACTTAAAAAAAATTTGTTTTTATTGGAAAGGAAGATTTACAGAAAGAAGGAGAGAGGAAAATCTTTCATTTGCTGGCCCACTCCCTAAATGGCTGCAAAAGCTAGAGGGAACTAATTCGGAACCAGCAGCTTCTTTTAGGTCTCTCACATGGCTTCAGGAGCCCACAGTTTTGGGCTGTCTTTGCTGCTTTCCCAGGTTGTAAGCAGGGAGCTGGATAAAAAGTGGAACAGCAGGGGCACAAAGCTGTACCCATATGGCATGCTGATACTTGGAGAATTAGCCTAGTAAGCCAAACCACCAGCTCCCATCAAAATTTTTAAAGCATTAACTCCAGAATTAAATTGTTCAGGTTGAAATATTAATCCTGAATTGGGATGGTGACATTATCCTTGGATCAGTGAAATCGGCAGCATTTCAGAACTATCCACACCGAGACTCTGGGTTTATATGGAGTGGTGGTTCCTTATCTGTGGGTACTGGGTTAAGTGGAATGTCATGCGTGGTTTCCCCCTTTGTCTCTCCTCCTCCACCAGGAACAACAAGAAGAAATAGCAAATTTGGGAGCAGTGAATTCACCCAATTTTCCCTAAACTGGACCTTAATCATTATTTAAAAATAAAATTTATTTTAAAAAATTTAAAAAAAAAGAAATATTGATCCTGGGCAAATGAGTCATTTACCCTCTAAACCTATATTTTATTTGACAGTGAAGTCAGTGATGATAACTACCTCTTGTAAGTGTCATTGATATTAAATAATGGCTATATGGGGCTGGTACAGTGGCATAGCATGCTGACCACCCACCTTAGGCACCAGCATCCCCTAAGGGTACTAGTTGAAGTCTCCCTGCCACCCTTCCAATCTTGCTCCTTGCTGTAGGCCTGGAAAAGCAGCAGAAGATGGTTCAAGGCCTTAGGCACCTTACACCCATGTGGGAGACTCTGTGAAGTCCAGTCTCTCACCTATGGACTGGCCCAGTTATGGCCATTGCAATCATTTAAAATGAATCAGTGGGTGGAAGAGCTTCCGTTCTCCCCTTTACTTCCTCTTCCTCTTAGTAACTCAGGTAAAATAACTAAATCTGAAGGAGAGGAAGAGGGCGGGAAGGAGGTAAAGAAAGGAAAGAAAGCACGCCTACAAAGCCATTTACCAGTGCCTGGTAACTAATGTATGACCAAGTGATGGATTGCGCATAATGAAAATTTTAAATGTTATAATAAGCATAAAATGTTAAAAACAGAAAAATGTTTATACTTTGTAACACAATGAAGTCACTGGATTACTGCTTTTTTAAATAACATGCAAAAATATCAGAACGTAAGGTAAGGATAAAAGGCAGTTATACTGCCATTATTTGGGAGATTTAATCCAATCACATTCTGAGTTAACACCTGTCATTTTTGTAATTGGTGACTGATTGTATCTACTCTTCACAAATTCTATAGTGTCATTTGTTTTCATGTTTGCTTCTTTATTTGCAGTTTTATTTTTAAATTTTTAAAAAAACTATCTTATGCTACAATTTTATAGGCTCTGGGATTTGCCTTAACCCTTCTCCTAATTTCCTGTCTGCCAATTATTTCTCCCTTTTGTTTATAGTAAAATAGTCCTTCATAAACAGTCATAAGTTCATCATTCTGCTATTTAAGTGTATACTTACATTGTGAGTATAGACTATGGCAGAGTCCAGCATCCTGTTGTCAAGATATGTTTAACAGTTTCATTGGGAGTGCATCTTTGATTTTGAAGCAGAGATGCATGCTGCATTGTAGCTTCACAGCTGCATATGATTCCTTTAAATGAAAAGCCATAAAATAAGTCAACAACAGGAAGAAAAATAGAGAATTTACAATGCCATGAAGTAACATGCTAATGAATGATCAATGTGCTGCTGAAGAAATGAAAAAAAAAAAACTTCTTGAAGAAAATGATGCTACTGTATGACCTGTGAGTCAGTGAAGAACTTAATAAAAGAAAACTTTTGAAGAATAGAAAATAAAAATATATCAAAACCCTTAAGATGTAACAAAAACAGTATTGAAAGGGCTTTTTATCTTATATTTTACAAGGAGGTTGCCTTATATCAGAGAGAAAATAAGATATTTGTCATTTTGTGATTGGTTTATTTCACTGAACATAATGGTCTCTAGTTGGGACCATTTAGTTCCAAAAGGTAGAATTTCATTCTTTTTAGTGGCCGAGTTGTATTCCATGGAGTAGATGTACTACAACTTCTTTATCCACTCTTCTTTTGACAGGCATCTGGGTTAATTCCATGTCTTTGCTATTGTAGTTTGTGCTGCTGTAAATGTAGGATTACAGATACATTTCTCCTATGCAGATTTCATTTCCTTTGGATATATTCCTTGCAGCAGGATAGCTGGATCATATTGCAGGTTTCAGTTCTCTTAGTACTCTCCATTCTGATTTCCATTGTGATTGTACTAACCTGTACTCCCACCAGCAGTGAAGGGGAGGATACCTTTCATATCCATGCCAGCAGGTGTTGTTAGTAGAGTTCTGAATATAGGCCACTGGAATTAGGAAGAACCTCAGTGTGATTTTCATTTGTTTTTCCCTGACAGATAGAAAGCCTGAGCATTTTTCATAGGTCTGTTAGGCATTTGAATTTGTTCTTTTGAAAAAATGTTCATTCCCTTCCCCCATTTCTTCACTATTGTTTGTTTTGCTTTCACTGGGTTTCTGAAACTTTTGTAAATCCTGATATTAGTCCCCTATCAGTTGCATAGTGTGCAGATTTTCTCCCATTCTTTGGTTGCTTCCTCATTTTGTTGATCATTTTCTTTACTGTACAGAAGGTTGTTAGTTTGATGTAGTCCCGATTGTTTATTTTGGCTTTGCTGTGTTTTCGGTGATAAAGAAGTCTTTCCCTATTCCTATATCTTGGAGTGTGCTTCCCATGTTTCCTTTGATCGTTTGATGGTTTTCGGGTGCAGATTTAGGTCTTTGATCCATTTAGAGCTGATTTTAATGTAGGGTGACAGGTAGGGGTCTTGCTTCTTAATTCTTCAGGCTGCTCCTCGGTCGTCCCAACAGCATAACAGCATTTGCTGAATAAATCAGGCTTTTCCCCTGGATTGCTTTCAGTTTTCTTGTCAAAGATTAGTTGGTATGCATGTGTGGGCTCCCTTCTGGGGTTTCTGTTCTGTTCTCCATTTCTGTACCAGTATCAGTCTGTTTTCCTTACCACTGCTCTGTATTGTCTTGAGGTCTGGAATTGTGATTCCTCCAGCTTGATGTTTATTCTTCAGGATAGTTTTGGCTATTTGTGATCACTTGTGTTTGCAGATGAATTTTTGTGTCTTTTCTATTTCTGAGAAGAGTGTTGGGATTTTGATTGGGATCACATTGAATCTAAATGTTATTTTTAGTAGTATGGACTTTGTGATGATGTTAATTCTACCTGCTGATCCAGGAATATGGTAAGTTTCTTCATCATTTAATGTCTTATTTTTTTAATGTTTCATAGCTTTCGTTATAGAGGTCTTCAATGTATTTGGTTAGATTGATTCCTAGGAATTTAAGATTCTTCTGCATTATCTTATAATGGCCTATACTTACAATTTCTTTCTTAATGCTTGAATTATTTGTGTGTATTAGTGCCATAGATTTGTGCTCATCAATTTTGTATTCTGCTACCCTGCCAAAGTCTGTTATGAGTTCTAATAGTCTCTTAATCAAGTCTTTTCGTTCTCCTGTGTAGAGAATCATGTAATCTGCAAACAGGGATGATTTTCATTCCTCATATCCAATTTGAATTGCCTTAATTTGTCTTTCTTACCTAATAGTCCTAGCAAGGACTTCCAATACTATATTGAATAGCAGTGGTAAGAGTGGATATCCTTGTCTCATTCCAGATCTTAGTGGAAAATCTTCCAGTCTTTCCCCATTTAGTATGATGCTGGCATTGGGTTTTTCATAAATTGCTTTGATTGTGTTCCCGCGATGTTCCTTTTGTGCCTATCTTGCTTATGGTTTTTTAGCATGAAGTAGTGTTGGATTTTATCATATGCCTTTTCTGCATCTATCGAGGTGATCATATGGTTTTTATTCTTCGGTTTGTTGATGTCATGTATCACATTTATTGATTTGCAAATGTTTAACCATTCCTGAATGCCTGGGATAAAGTCCACCTGGTCCGGGTGAATGATCAGCCTGATGTGCTGTTGGATCCTATTAGCTATTATTTTGTTGAGGATCTTTGCATCTTTGCTCATCAGGGAGTTCAGTCTGTACTTCTCTTTTTCTGTTGTGTCTCTATCTGGCTTTGAAGATAGTGGCTTCATAGAAAGAGATTTGAGGAATTTCTTTCCTTCCTGTTTTTTGGAAAAACTTGCAGAGAATTGGGGTAATTTCTTGAAATATTTGGTAGAATTCAGCCTTGAAGCCTTCTGGTCC